ATATTCAGATATCGTTCTGGCTCATCTCATATGATTTTACTGATTCTCATTGTGAGTATGTTTTTACCTTGTACTTTAGCTCACATTATTAAAAACCATCTACACTAGGGTGGGCGCCCTTCTCTTTTCTTTTCTCCCACCTCTATGAATAAGCCTACGGGTGAAACATGTGAGAGGTTGTACATGGTTGGGGGTGTGCAGTGCTGCCATTTGTTGCTTTATACACTTTTATTCACTGTTATACTGAATTTGCTGTGAATTTCAATAAAGTCTGAAGTATTTGAATTTGTCTGGATAGTGCGGTCTGTTCGTATAATGCTGCATTCTAAGGTGGAGACGCACCTATTGGACCAGCACCTGGGGAGTCCTGATGGTGGCTAAGGAATTGGAGCGGTGAGATTTACTTTGGTTCTACAACTACATAGTAGCACGGTGTTACTATACATACAGGTGAAACTCGAATAATTAGAATATCGTGCAAAGTTCATTTATTTCACTAATGCAACTTAAAAGGTGAAACTAATATATGAGACTCATTACATGCAAAGCAAGATAGTTCAAGCCGTGATTTGTCATCATTGTGATGATTATGGCTTACAGCTCATGAAAACCCCAAGAACCCCAAATCCACAACCTCAAAAAAGTAGATTATTACATGCAATCAATAAAACACGGATTGTACATAGAACAATATCGGACCTCTGAAAAGTACAAGCATGCATATGTACTCAGTACTTGGTTTGGGCCCCTTTTGCAGAACTTACTGCAATTACTTTTGCACGATATTCTAATTATTCGAGTTTCACCTGTATATATATTAGTAAAATAAAAAACAAGTCGGGAATGTGCAATGAGCTTGTTTGCACTTTCTTCATGTCGTCAAGTTCCTTCTGGTTGGAAGCACAGAGCCGGGGAGAAGAGCTACTTTTTATCTGACAAAAAGTCACCGGTGACCAAAAAAAGAAAAGCAATTTATATGACAACATGGGGCCTTTTATCAAGAGAGCAGTCAGGTGTCAGAGCAATCT